TCTATAGTCAGACCAAGTCCTAGGTCCCGATCTCTTCGGGATTAAAATGATGGAGGCACAACTTGACTCGAAAATAATGCACGTAATATATATCGCAATCGTACACAAATTTATAAATTTATATCACCACCTATTATTTTTCAAAATGATACACAAAAATGCAATTTACTAGAATATCGCATAACATTACGTGAAATATTTGGAGTCGCGAGGAAAAAAAAGTTGAGACGATTTTTACACGTCAATACCTCTTTGGGAGCTCTTGAATACGCTCGATACCAACGATCTGTCTTTTATTTCATGAACCATTTTGTAAGGAAGACGAGGTGACAATATAATTTAAGAAAACAAAAATACAAAGATGGAGGTAAAGATGCAAATGTTGTTTGTTTAATGTTTTGTAAGGAAGATAAGGCGGCAATATAATTTTTTTTAAAAAAAAAAATACAAAGATTGAGATAAAAATGCAAATGTTGTGATACTACTTATAATTTTGATTTTATATAATCATAAACTATTTTATGAGACAGGTAACTAGTTACGGAGCCATTCGATCAGGATTTGTAACCGTTAGATCATCATGTAACCGTCGAGGATAGTTGATTTAACGGTTCCAAACCCCAACGGAATGGTTTCATAATGAAACCGTAGTATCTACCAAAAAGTATGTGCATGAATATTGAACATCAATATGCTTTGTGCATGCATGATACATAGAGTTCTTGCTTAAGTCAATAGCACTTTGACTATCACAATATACCTTATACTCTTTCTGCTTGATCCCAAGTTCATGGAGATAGCGCTTTAGCCACAACATTTCTTTACCAGCTTCAGCGGCAACAATATATTCAGCTTCTGTTGTGGATAAAGCAACACCACTTCTGTAATCTTGATTGCCAAGAAATGGCTCCCCCTGCAAAAGTGTAGACATAGCCCGAAGTAGATTTTCAACAATCAATATCTCCGGCCATATCAGCATTAGTATATCCTTCCAAGACTGGATCAGCTCCCCCGTAACAAAAACATAACTTAGAAGTACCTTTCAAGTATCTGAGAATCCATTTGACAGCCTCCCATAATGCTTTTTCCCGGGATTAGAAAGAAAACGACTCACTACACCCACTGCATGAGCAATATCTGGCATTGTACACATCATTGCATACATTAGACTTCCAATTGCTGAAGAGTATGACACTGCAAACATCTCCCCCATCTCTTCCTTGGATGTTGGACATGATCTTTTGCTCAACTTGAAGTGATTCGCAAGTGGAATACTCACTGGTTTGACATCACTCATATTGAATCTTTCAAGTATTCGTTCAATATACTTCTCTTGAGATAGCCATAACTTGTCGTTCTCTCGATCTCGAGTAATCTGCATCCCAAGAATATGTTGAGCCTTTCCTAAATCTTTCATATCAAAAGACTTGAAAAGTTCTTTCTTCAGCTGGCTTATCTTCTCTGCATCATTCCCAACGATCAACATGTCGTCGACGTACAATAGAAGAACTATGAAAGCCCCTTTTGAGTATCTCTTGATGTAAACACACTCATCTACAGTAGTCTTCTTGTAACATTGACTCTTCATGCATGAGTCAAACTTCTTATTCTATTGCCTTGGTGCTTGCTTCAGGCCATACAAGCTTTTAGATAGCTTGCACACGAGGTTCTCACTTGAAACCTTAAAACCTTCTGGCTGCTGCATATATATTTCTTCATTCAAACCTCCGTGAAGAAAAGCTGTCTTTACATCCATCTGTTCAAGCTTCAAATTCATACTTGCTGCCAAGCCACGTATGACTCGAATTGATGTCATCTTGACAACTGGTGCAAAGATCTCTTCAAAATCAATCCCTTTCTTCTGCTGAAAGCCTTTGACAACCAATCGAGCTTTGTGTTTCACCACTTGTCCATTTGCATCTTTCTTCAGCTTGAACACCCATTTGTTTTTCAAAGCCTTTTTCCCTTCTGGAAGTTCAACTATCTCATAAGTTTGATTTTATGCAGAGAATCTAACTCTTCTTACATCGCAGCCATCCATTTTTCTTTATCCTTATGAGATATGGCTTCTTGAAAACTCTATGGTTCTCCATCTTCTGTCAATAGAAGGTATTCAGATGATGAGTACCTATTTGATGGTATATGACCTCGTTTAGATCTACGAGTGGGTAAAGCCATCTGAGAAGAACTACCAACATTTGTGTCTGGCAAAATGGGTTGTGGCTCCCCTTGCTCTGGCAAGATGGGTTGTTGCTCCCCTTGCTCTGCACTCTCTTGTTAGGAAATAAGGTCGGATAAGATGGAATAACAACAACACACCAATGTGAAACCAATAAAAGACACGAAAATTTGTTGACCCAGTTCAGATTAAATCCTACGTCTGGGGGCGAACCAAGCCAGGAAAATGAACTAGAAGAAGAGGATAAACCGAATGTTACAATTCACACAAGCCCGTATGAATACACTCTCGCTACTCTTTTTCTCTCTAGTATTGATATTGTATTTTTGGTTGGTTTTGTTCCTCATAATTGCTAGCTATTTATAGAAGAAGAGTGCACATATTTTTCAACATTTGTGTACTAATTAATGTGAATAAAATGAGCAGTCTGGCTGCTGCACAATTTCAACATCTTGGGGCTGTCAAATGGAATGGGCTCAGCTGCCCATTTTTTACTCAACAATCTCCCACTTGAAGACTGATTTCAATCTGTCTTCACACCTCAATTACTGCAGTGGTCTTCTTCTAGCAAGCCACCTGAAGTTGAGCACAACTTCAGTTTGTCAATGGTCACCACCTTTGTTATCTCTAACTTGAAGATTGATTAACATGTTCATCTCTGCTTCTGGTTCTACTGGGTCTGTCTGTTTTAATCATCAAGGCCGGTCGAAGCTACACAGAGCTTCAACTTTTCCAAAGTTACCGCCTTGGTCAACATGTCTGCAGGATTCCTATCTTTACGAACCTTTTTCAGTTGCAGCATCTTCTTCTCTAGAAGTTGTCGGATGAAATGATACTTAACCTCGGTGTGCTTCGTTCGTGAGTGAAACGCAGGGTTCTTTGCCAGATGGTTGCACTCTGGCTATCGCTGTATAGAGCCACATCCTCCTGAGGTCTCCCAAGTTCATTCAGAAAGTTTTGCAGCCAAACGAGCTTCTTGGCTGCCTCCATCACTGCCACGTACTCAGCTTCCGTTGTTGACAATGTGACTATCTTCTGCAGCTTTGAGATCTAGGATACGGCCGTCCCGCCGTAAGTGAACACGTACCCAGTAGTACTCCTTCTCTTGTCGTGATCACTTCCTGCAAAATCAGCATCGACAAACCCAGACAGGGTAAGAGTACTCCTGCCAAATACCAATGCCCGGTCCTTAGTACCCCTCAGGTACCTAAGGATCCACTTTACCGCCTCCCAGTGTATCACTCCAGGATTGCTCATGAACCTGCTGACTACTCCCACTGCATGTGATATGTTTGGTCGGGTGCAGACCATAGCGTACATTAGGCTCCCGATGGCCGAAGCATACGGCGTAACTCTCATTCTTTTTTTTTTTTCAGATTCATCCTTGGGCGAATCCTTGTTGGACAACTTGATCTGGCTTCCCAATGGCACTCCAACCGGATTTGCAATATTCATATTAAATCTGCACAACACCTTCTCAATATAATCAGATTGAGAAAGCCAAAGTTTACCAGCATTCTTGTCCCTCGTGATTTTCATACCTAGTATCTGTCTCGCTTCTCCTAGATCCTTCATATTAAATCTCCTTGATAGCTGATCCTTGAGCCTCTCGATCTCCTTGACATCTGATCCTGCTATCAACATGTCATCCACATATAACAGTAAAATAATGAAAGAGTTACTGAACCTTTTCACATAGCAACAATGATCATCATTACACCTGGAGTATCCAATCTCCAACATGAAATTATCGCACTTTCGATACCACTGTCGAAGAGCCTGTTTCAGTCCGTACAAGCTCTTCTTTAGGCGGCAGACCTGTTGAACATTTCCTCAATACCCCTCTGGCTGCACTATGTAAATTTCTTCCTCGAGATCCCCATGCAGAAAGGTCGTCTTCACATCTAACTGTTGCAACTCTAAGTTTTCCGCCGCTACCATGCTCAACACTAGACGAATAGTGGTTAACTTAACAACAGGTGTAAAAACATCGGTAAAGTCAATATCGTATCTCTGTTGGAATCCCTTTACTACAAGTCTGGCCTTGTACCGTTTTGTTCATCTGATTTCTCCTTGACCCGATAGACCCATCTGTTTTGAAGCACCTTCTTTCCTTTTGGGAGATCACACAAATCCCATGTGTGGTTCTTCTTCAACGAGTTCATCTCGTCATCCATCTCAAGCTCCCATTTGCTCTTGTGGGCATCTTTAACTACCTCTTCATAACAGTCGGGTTCCCCAGAATCAGATAAAAGTAGGTAATAAAGAGAAGGGGAGTACCTGTCCGGGGCCCTTCTCATCCTTAGTTCTCGGCCCAGTGCCAGAGGCGTGCTGCTCTCAGCAATCGGTTCATCCAATTCTGGTTCTGCCTCTTCTTCTGTACGCTCGATCTCATCTATCTAAGCTTCCACTGAATCTGTTGGTCTCATGATTCTGGTATTTGAAATATCGAGACCAACATACTCCTGCATGGTCTTGTCATCGTCTGGGTATTCCTTCCGGTCCTTGTACATTATGCCTTCATTGAACACCACATTACGACTGCGAATAATTTTCCGATTTTGATCATCCCAAAATCTATACCCAAATTCGTCAGTCCCATATCCAATGAATGTACATTTGACAGACTTAGCATCCAGCTTTGTCCGGTCGTCGTTCAAAACGTAAGCCAAACAACCAAAGGTACGTAAGAAATAGAGATCAACTTCCTTACCACTTTAGACCTCTTCTAGAATTTCGTTGTTCAGTGGGACAGAAGGCCCCCGTTTGATCAAGAAAGCGGCCGTGCTGACTGCTTCTGCCTAAAACATCTTGGACAGTCCACTCTTCAATCGCATGCATCTCGCACGCTCATTCAGTGTCCTGTTCATCCTCTCCACAATGCCATTTTGCTGAGGTGTCCCTGGGACCGTCTTCTGCATCCGGATCCCATGATCAGAGTACTCCTTGATGGCTTAACTGTTGTACTCGCCACCGTTGTCGGATCTGAGACATTTCACTTCCAGACCTGTCTCTTTCTCCACAAGTGCTCTCCATCTCCTAAAAGTGTCAAAGGTTTCAGATTTTCTTTTCAGAAAGTACACCCATACCTTTCTTGTGCAGTCATCGACGAACGTCATGTAGTACATCGATCCTCCAAGAGATGTCACCGGTGCTGGCCCCCATAAGTCAGTGTGCATGAGCTCTAGTTTTTCTATCTTTGGAGCTCTCCCGATGGTCGTGAAGCTCACTCGCTTCTGCTTTCCAAGCACGCATTGCTCGCAGAGACCCACGTCCACAGACTCCAACTCGGGCAAAAGTCCTCTCGGCCTTAGTACCTTCATTCCTTTCTCGCTCATGTGGCCCAAGCGACTATGCCACAAGTGCGATTGTGAGACAGCTCCTGCTAGGAGAATGTTTGAGCTGGATCCACTCGCCGTGTAAAGCGTTCCTGACTTCAGCCCTCTTGCCAAAGTCATAGCTCTTCGGTTGACCTTCCACTTTCCGTCTCCAAACATTGTGTGGAAGCCGTCATTGTCCAGCTGTCCAACTGAGATGAGATTCCTCTTTAGTCCTGGAATGTGTCTTACATCCCGTAGGGTCCAACATGACCCATTTGCGGACTTGATCTGCACATCTCCCTTCCCTACAATTTTTAGGGGATTGTTGTCTGCAAGATATACCACGCCAAAATCACCTGCGGTGTATGGATCCATGATGTCTCTGCTACTGCAAGAGTGAAACGAGGCCCCTGAGTCCACGATCCAGTCATCGAGCGAGCTTCTCACACTCAACAAGAGTACATCAGCCGTGTCCTCTGTCGCGGCATTGGCTGTCCGGCCTTCTTTGTCCTTCCTTGGTGCCCGGCATTCGCTTTTCATATGCCCAGGCTTCTCGCAGTTCCAGCACACCATCTCTTTCTTGCCTTTATTCCTTCCCCTAGATTTTGACCTCCCACGAATGTTCCCTCGTATTTCGGGTCTTCTTCTGGACTCTGTATGTAGGGCTGAGCCAGACGACCCACCCGTCTGATTTCTGCGGGTCTCCTCATTCAACATCATGTCTCTGATGTTGTCGAACTTCATCTTATCCTTGCCAGAAGAAGTGCTCACCGAAGTAACAACCACGTCCCAACTGTCCGGCAATGATGAGAGTAAGATTATGGCTTTTACCTCATCACCAAACGAAATATCCACCGATGTTAGCTGCGTCGTGAGTTGGTTGAAATCGTTGAGATGATCAGCCACTGACTTTCGCTCCTCTATTTGCAATTTAACAGCTTTTTCATTAGCATCAACTTGTTTATTGCTGATGGTTTTCATACATATCGGCGAATGTCTGCAAGACCTCCTTCGTGCTTTTTGCTCCCTTCACATGGTAGGCGACGTTCCGAGAGAGCGAAAGAATTATAGCGCTCATCGCCTTCCGATCGAGCATCTTCCATTCATCATCGCTCATCTTCTCGGGCTTTTCCCCAAGAGGTGCGTAGAGGTCCTTCCCGTACAGGTAAGCCTCCATTTGCATTCGCCAGAATCCAAAGTCGGAACCATTAAACCGTTCGACTGGAATATTTCCCTCCATCTTATCTCCAACCTCCTGGCTCTAATACCAGTTGTTGGGAAATAAGGTCGGATAAGATGGAATAACAACAACACACCAATGTGAAATCAATAAAAGACACGAAAATTTGTTGACCCAGTTCAGATTAAATCCTACGTCTGGGGGCGAACCAAGCCAGGAATATGAACTAGAAGAAGAGGATAAACCGAATGTTACAATTCACACAAGCCCGCATGAATACACTCTCTCTACTCTTTTTCTCTCTAGTATTGATATTGTATTTTTGGTTGGTTTTGTTCCTCAGAATTGCTAGCTATTTATAGAAGAAGAGTGCACATATTTTTCCACATTTGTGTACTAATTAATGTGAATAAAATGAGCAGCCTGGCTGCTGCACAATTTCAACATCTTGGGGCTGTCAAATGGAATGGGCTCAGCTGCCCATTTTTTACTCAACATCTCTTCCGTCTCCTCGTCTTCTTTTGGTACATCATCTTCATTGTTTATCCGGAACAATTCTGGAGCTTCATCTGAAACTTGCGCACCCACTTTTGACTTTTGAGATATCTTGGGCTTTTCGATATCTTCTATTGTCAAATTTTCTTGGAACACAACGTCCCTACTTCTGATCACCTTTTTCTCCTTTGGATCCCAAAATCTCTATTCAAACTCTTCATCTCCATAACCAATGAAAATGCATGGGATCGACCTCGCATCGAGCTTCTTTCTGAGCTCTTTGGATACATGTGCATGTGCTACACAACCAAATACTCTGAGATGTGAGTATGACGGATCCTTACCAGTCCATATTCTCTCTGGAACTTCAAAATTTAATGCAACTGAAGGTGATCGGTTGATTAGATAACATGCGGTCTTGACAGCTTCTCCTCAAAATGTCTTTGGTAATTTAGCCATATTCATCATGCTTCAGACACGCTCCATGACAGTCTGATTTATTCTTTCAGCAACACCGTTGTGCTGAGGGGTATGTGGTACTGACTTCTCATGTCGAATGCCATATGTCCTGCAATATGCATCGAACTCCTTGGAAGTATACTCTTCTCCATTATCAGATCGGAGACATTTCAGCTTCTTTCCTGTCTCACGTTCCACCATGACGTGAAATGACTTGAAGTACTCAAACACCTGGTCCTTCGTATTTAGGAAATATACCCACACCTTTCGAGAAGCATCATCAATGAAAGTCATAAAATATCTGCTTCCGCCCCTCGAGTCAACCTCCATGGGACCGCAAACATCAGAGTGTACCAAGCTCAACAACTCTGATCTCCTTGTTGAATTGGCATTGGATGAGACTCTATGTTGCTTGCCGAACAGGCAATGACTGCAAGAACCAACGCAACACTCTTATCAACCTTGATAAAATCCTTCTTCATAAGGGTAGTCAACCCTTTCTCACTCAAAATGGCCAAGTCTCTGGTGCAACAGATCCTGAGAAACCTCCTCTGCAACATTGAGACTTTCTGTACAAATCTTCAAATGTGTTTTGTACAGCGTCCCAGAAACATGTCCTCGGGCAATTTTCAGAACACCATTTGACAACTTCCATGTGCCTGCGCCAAAGTGATTTTTATTTCATTCTTTGTCAAGAGCCACCACTAACAAAAGATTTAGCCTAAGGTCCGGCACATGTTTGACATCCTTTAATAAGATTGTACTCCCGGTTCCTGTCGTTGTCTGGATATCACCAATTCTGGCAATTTCAGAGGAACTGGAATCCCATCTTCATCGATCCAAAGTCTCCAACTTGGTATGTTATGAAGTATTTTTTGTTGGGAGTAATGTGATAGGATGATACAGTATCTACCACCCATTAAATGTCGTCTCTTGAGACATGAAGACATGTCTCACCAAGGTTAGAGCCATATGTTACATTACCTGTGACAGTGATGAGAGTTTCACCACTCTTGCCCTTATTCTTCTGCTGAGAACTATTCTTCGACTGAGAATTGCTCTTGTCCTGCTCCTCGAGCCATTTATAGCAATTCTTTGTCATATGTCCTTCTAGACCACAATGATATATAGCACACATGTGATCTCTGATCATCTGATTGCCTCCCCTTGCTTCTACCCATGCTCTTACCTATACCACTTATTTGTTGCTTGCCTTGTGGTCTTCCTCGATTTTCCATCACAAGGGCATGGGTCTGATCTGTGCCCATGTCTTTCCTACTTGCCTCTTCATTGAATAAGGTATCCTTCACAACGGACATGGAAAGTTTGTCGTTTGAGGCTGAATTGCTGAGAGTAACAACGAGTGTTTCCCAGCTATCAAGAAGGGAACTAAGAAGTAGCAGAGATTGCATTTCATTTCCAAGCGGCATCTCCATACAAGACAACTGATTTACCAGGCTCTGGAACTCACTGGTATGCTCGGCAACAGAAGTTCCACTTTTCAACTTCATATTGACTAAGCGCCTCATCAATAAGGCCTTATTCCGAGCGGTCTTGGCATGGTACATGTCCTCCTGTAAAGGACATATGCGTCGGTTTCTTGTGCAACATGATGGAAGACACTATGGTCTATCCATTGTCGGATTTGACCAATAGTTTTCTATTGATTTTCTTCCATTCTAATGCCTTGGACGGATTAGGGTTAATACCCTTCAGGTCTATTGGGTCAAAGAGCTCTTTACAGTTGAGGAAATCTTCCATCTGAGGTTTCCACAACGTATAATTGGTAGTCGTGAGCATAATCATAGCCCCAGAAGATGAAGTTGAATCTTCCATGGCCATTTTACACCTTCGACGATCTGTTTGGGATAAATCGGAGATGAATTTTGAAAAATAGATAGCACCATTGCGTCCGGAACAGTCGAAAATGGGGGGAGAGTTTTTTTTTATGACGTGGTAGTCAACTGATGATGTGGAGTTGACTTGCTGATGTGGCAGCTGAGTGGAGTGCTGACCTGGCGGCTGACGGGGCTACTGACGTGACAGCTGACTAGGCTGCTGAATGGGCCTTTGACGTGGCAGATGACTCGGCTTCTATCTGCTGACGTGGCGATTACGTGTCAGATGATGTGGCGACACGTCATCATCTTCTACCTCAAGATTTTTTTTTCTTCAGAACTTTCGAAGGCTTTTCGAGGCAGCTCCGATGTCCGTTTTTCGCTCGTAAGATATCACCGCGACCGTCTCGACGAGACGAATCTAAATTTGTCCTCGGAATTGAGTTTCGAGTACAATTCAGAAACTCGAAATTCTTACCGAAGCTCGAAAAAATTCAAATTAAGCTTGAAAGTTTCAAACCAAGCTCTGATACCACTTGTTGTGGCATCATCCCAAGATCATAAACATAATTGAGAGAAAAACAAGTTTCTATTACTCACAAGAATAAAAACAAGAGATTTACAAATTTTAAACAAAACTCTCAAACTCTCCACAATTCTTTCTTGGTTGTGTTTCAACACTTTCAAGGTTGATTGATCACACTCTTGGATGATTCAAATGAATGAAATAAGCACTTTATTTATAGATACGAGCAAGCACACCGTCGTTGACAATGGTGTGTGAATGAGGAGGGTTAGGTGGAGGTGGAGGACTAGTCTTCTTCTTCATTTGTGTGCTGCAAGAAGGACTTCTTCCTTGGTGTGCCACAACTATTGCATGGAACTTTCAGTTATATATTAGGCTTGAGTAGATTTTAATTTACTTCCAATCCAAAAATAATTATGTCCGGTTTATCCGAGATAGTACGTACGTAGGCGCTAAGTTCCTTTGATAAAATGCCTCACAGCCTGTTCAATAAGGTAAAACATTAATTCTGAATATTCCTGTGAAAAAATTCACACGGAAAAATCATGTCGATCGATCGATGATGTCGTTTTCATTAAAATCGATTAGTAATTTAATTAACAAAAAATCAATGCTTTCACAAAATCTGTTGATATTAATACTAACTCATAGTAGTCAACGATCAGATTATATGTTTATTTAACAATGAGTCTTTTATAATGATGATCATTCTTGATTGGGCGTAATCTGTTTTCACGGGTGCATAATATTTCTGTATAACTTGCCAAACCCGGTCTTCTGTGAGTTGTATTAATCCCCCAGACCCTTTTTTTATACGATTTTCGGGCCACATTTGCACATAGTTTACTGGTTTTTTAGATTATAAAATACTTTTGTTGCTGCACATAGTTTGCCAACTAATGGCATTTGTTAATATATTCTGTAGCTAAGAGTACTATAAATATGTCTCTGCATTTTACTAGCATACAGCAGCTCGAGCTTCTCCTCGATTTGTCGAAAACCAAAATACCTTTCTCCTCGAATATGGAACAAACCGGGGCAATTTCTGGATTGGAATGGAACAACTTCATGAGTGGAATTTGTTCGGATGAGGCTGAGTTCATGGCCCAATTGATTAATAACTATTCGGTCCCGAACGAGGTACCGAGCGATAATCCTTCTAACTTTTCTAACTTTTGGCCTGATCATCATGCATCGAATGATGATGATGGCATTTATCGTGAAAGATCAATGTGCCACTCGCTGGACGAGACGAATGCAAGTGTGTTTTTCCCATTGCCGTCGAGTCGCGAAGGCTACTATCACGACAGTTTTATGAGTGACAGTGTGGAGTCGAACGAGAATGTTCCGGAAGGTTTTCCTGGGAATAATTTGCTGTTTGGAGAAGTTCTTATCTTCCCGAATATGCCAGAAACATCGAGGGAAGATACGGTAGGCACCCAGCCTGGGTCGAAGAAAAGATCGCGACCCTCTGGAGAAGTAAGCAAAAATATATAGAAAAAAGAAAATCTTTCCTCTCTAATCTCATGCAATTTTTTTTTTTTTTTCTTATTATTGTTATTTAGTTGTTTCTTATCACAATCATTTTGTGTGGGAAAAAATTCAGGTGCAGAAGAACAATAGAAGCATGAAACTCAAGAAGTGTGTTAATGTTGATTATGATGATAATGACTTTGATAACAATAACAACAACAACAACAACGTGAAGGTTCAGAGGCAGAGCTCGAGTAGCTGCTGCTCGGAAGATGATTCGAGTGCCTCCCAAAAAGTCAACGAAGTTTCGGTGGGGTCAAAGGGCAAAACACGTGCCGGTAGGGGCTCTGCAACTGATCCCCAGAGCCTTTATGCAAGGGTAATGTAGTAGTTTTCTTTACGAGTCGACAAAATAAAGAAAAAAGAAAAGGCCCATTCGTGTGTATGTATGTCTTGTGTGACTGACAAAAAAACTTTTCGCGCGATTTTTGCAGAAAAGGAGAGAGAGAATAAACGAGAGGTTGCGAATCTTGCAGAAACTTGTCCCAAACGGAACGAAGGTAATAATGAAATTTTCTTGACGAAAGGCGGGAAAATTGAGTATTTTCGAATGCATTGATCGTAAAACTCGATTTTTTGTGGTAATAATAATAATAATAGGTTGATATCAGCACAATGCTTGAAGAGGCTGTACAGTATGTCAAGTTCTTGCAAGTTCAGATTAAGGTAAGTTAGTTAGTTAGTTGTATTTTTTTTAAAAAAAAAATAAAAAATTAATTGGAGCTTTTAATGTTGCTTAGTGAAGATTGCAATGTTTTGATATTAATTTTGTGTTTTTATTTATTGCAGCTGTTGAGCTGTGATGACACGTGGATGTATGCTCCAATTGCCTACAATGGAATGAACATAGGGCTTGATAGCCTTGATTTAAAAATCTCCACTCCAAAGACACAACAATCCTCATGATCATGAAGAAGAAGATGATAATGGTGATGATGGGCTTAATTAGAGTACTAGTGAATAAAATACTACCCTTTTTATATATTCAAATATTTTTTATTTTATTTTATTATTTTCCTTTTGTCTTAAAATAAAGATGTCACTAATCCTTTTTATTTTTATTTATTTTATTTTATTTTATTTTATTTTATTTTTTATTTTTTTTGGGAGAAAAGTGATGAGAGTAAATTGTTAAACACTGATCTGATTTGTGGCTTTGTTGCTGTTTTTAATGTAATAATAGATTGGGACTAACCCCCCTTTTATTTTTATGTAATGCTTTGTGTTCTTAACATTAAAAGTATAGTGATGGTTACTGTGAGTTCATCAACTAATGAAAAGGGGGCATTATTTGGTTATTAGAAGTTTAGAGATAACTGATTATAACCTTATTGTTTTTTAGATTTAAAGTTGATTGATTAAAAGAGGTGGGAATAATCTTATTGCTTTTTAGAGTTAAACAACAAAATCTGTGGAATTGCCCGCCCGACCCGGGATGGGTCAAGGTGAATACTGATGGAGCCTTTCAGAGCGGCACGGGCATGGGGTGCGCGGGTGGTCTTATTAGGGACGAGTTGGGTCGTTGGGTTGCTGGCTTCCTGATGAAAATCGGTCTCTGTACTATCACGGGAGCTGAGTCGTGGGGACTTTTTCAAGGATTACAGTTAGCATGGGACCGGGGCTACCGTCACGTTTTTGCCGAGGGTGATAGCATGTGTGTGACGACATGGTCTCTGACTCTGGCAACACCCATGGCATTCACGGGCCTCTGGTCCAGGCCATTCGAGAGCTGTTGCACAGAGATTGGCAAGTTCGGATGGTTCACGTTCATCGAAAGGCTAATTTTACAGCTGACTATATGGCTTCTCTCGCGGCATCCTCTTTCATTATTATGACTATAAAACATCACGAGAACAAAATGACATAAAAATAAAAATGAATACAATCTATCTACTGCAGTATTAGTATATAATTAAACAACTCATGCTATTTTTTCTATATCTATACTACTTTAAAAGGAGGAGTATTTTTGTAAAAATTCATAATGCCTAAAAAACCCTTACTTTGAAATAAATTTAATGGCAAATTAGTAATACACTAATACACATCATATTTTATTTATATTTTTAATTAAAAAGTGAACTACCTAAAAAACCCTTACTTTCACATGTTTTTAATGGCAAATTGGTAATATACTAATGCCATCATATCTTATATCCTCCCTATATACAATTAAAAAAACATAACTTTTCTCAATTCAACATAAGCAACTCAATGAAAATAATATATTTTTAAAAATTTTATGAACAAAAGTTGACTCGACAATATTATTAATGATTTTATGAATTGTAAATATTTAATTAAAATATTAATTAAAAAAATTGTAATTATATATACTATAATATAGAATATACAAATATTTGATATACAATGAGACAGATGATCGAAAAAATTCTATACTTTATATTATGTCCTTTTTGACAAATCTACAGTTAAGAACATGTGAAAGAACAAGATAAAGTTTTAAAAAAAATTAAATATAAGAAATAATATGAATAATAACTAAGTTGTGACACGTACTAATAAATATAAAACAAACTAATAAACAAAAATAATATAATTAATATATCTAAATATAAACCTTCTAAAAAATATAATTATCGATGTAATCGAACTGAATTATTAAACGCTTGTTAGTTTTTTGTTCTTATTAATTTTATGTGTAAATTTGAGGTGATAGACAATAGTTATTTGTACATTTATACATGTAGATTAGAAAAAAAAAATCTTTATTATTATAATTTTAAATAACTTTTTTATTTACTATATTAGTTTTTTTAATATAATATATAAGTATCATATTGAACAGATAAAATAAGAAATATTTTAATTATATAATATTTAATATGTAAGAATTGTAACTCAATTGGTAAATTAATAGGTAAATTTGGGATAAAATAATGAGTGATTTATGAAAAAAAAATTATAGGAACTAAAAAGTTCACGTGTTTAATATATTTTTAATAAAAAAATTGTAAACACAGTTACTCAATAAATACTACATAAAAAATATAAAAAAATCTTATATCCTCCCTATATGTAATTAAAAAACATAACTTTTCTCAATTCAACATAAGCAAATCAATGAAAATAATATATCTTTTTGTACCAAAAAAAATGAAAATAATATATCTTTAAAAATTTTATGAACAAAAGTTGACACGACAATATTATTAATGAATTTATGAATTGTAAATATTTAACTAAAATATTAATTAAAAAATTATAATTAAATATAATATAATATAGGATATACAAATATTTGACATATAATGAGGCAGATAATCGAAAAAATTCTATACTTTATATTATGTCTTTTTTGACAAATCTACAGTTAAGAACATGTGAAAGAACAAGATAAAGGTTTAAAAAAATATTAAATATAAGAAACAATATGAATAATAACTAAGTTGTGACACGTACTAATAAATATAAAACAAACTAATAAACAAAAATAATATAATTAATATAACTAAATATAAACCTTCTAAAAATATACTTATTGATGTAATCGAACTGAGTTGTTAAACGCTTGTTAGTTTTTTGTTCTTATTAATTTTATGTGTAAATTTGAGGTGATAGACAATAGTTATTTGTACATTTATACATGTAGATTAGAAAAAAAATCTTTATTATTCTAATTTTAAATAATTTTTTTATTTACTATATTAGTTTTTTTAATATAATATATAAGTATCATATTGAACAGATAAAACAAGAAATATTTTAATTATATAATATTTAATATGTAAGAAATGTAACACAATTGGAAAATTAATAGGTAATTAATCTTGGGATAAAATAATGAGTGATTTCTGGAAAAAAAAATTATAGGAACTAAAAAGTTCACGTGTTCAATATAATTTTAATAGGAAAATTGTAAACACAATTACTCAATAAATACTACATAAAATATAAAAAATCGTATATCCTCCCTATATATAATTATAAAACATAACTTTTCTCAATTCAACATAAGCAAATCAATGAAAATAATATATTTTAAAAAAGTTTATGAACAAAAGTTGACTCGACAATATTATTAATGAATTTATGAATTGTAAATAGTTAATTAAAAAATTGTAATTAAATATAATATAATATAGGATATAAAAATATAGTTAAATCAATTTTATTAAGTATAAAATAACATAAGATAAACTTGTGGTATGTTTTCCATACATAAATTTGAAATAGTTCATATTAAAAAAATAAAAAAAATGGGTGTAAACTTCTAACTGTTCCCACGTTTTGGCTAGAGCGCCCAAATCCGATATATGTTTGACACGAGTTTGTCGTAATGCTGAAACTATGGCAAATGCACCTTAGGGTACAAACGAAGCGAAGCAATGTGAAGTCATAGATAAAAGGAAAGGCTAGACCAGAGAAATGAAATGAAATAACATTAGCTATGTGAAGTCAATTACTGCTGCAAAATGAACCCTATAATGGTGGTACCATATATGTATTCAGTGATTATGAAAATGACTTAGTTAATTAATATTTTATCAAACATTGGAAAAAATTCTAAAACTTTTTAATCTAATAATCGTATAAAAAGTACAATTTTATCAAATATATTAAATTACATTTAATCTTATGTGATTATATTAATTGTAGCCTAATAAATAAGATAATTTGATACCATAATTATATAAAACACATATAAAAAATAACATAATACGTATAATTGTTCTTTAGTTACTTAGCAAATAAAATATTATTTGTCTAAGAATAAGAAACAAATAATATAATAGTAATTCAATGAGAAAAAGAAAACATGCTAATTTTTTTAGAAAAGTATGAATACCAATATTTACAAACAAAAAGTCTTTTAAAATTACTACTTTTTTGTTGCTAGCGTTTAAATATATGGACTCTGTAAGAAATTGGTTCTCATAAATAATGATCATATATTATTTATTTTCAATTTTAAATAATTGAAAAATCTAAAAATTTGTATACATGATGTATATTTTAATCATGACTCCATAATAATAAACTTTACAAATGGCTAAAAGTATCGTCATATAATGGAATTCTAATTCTTCTGTTGTCAAATATTTTAACAAATGATATGCTTCTCAATATTTTCGCATTGTTTTGTTATATCATAGCAAAAAATAGATTATATTGTTCGTCTATATTCTAGATAAATAACATTGAAAATAAAATGTAGGAGTATCAAAACAGTTTTGAATGTTAGAATTAAGTTGTCACTTTTTATAGAAATATTTATAATCTCATTGGTGTATTGTGCTTGAACATATGTGCAATTACTTTAGAGGTACTTTCAGGTAATGTATGATGGTTTCAAAAAATAATTTAGCACCTCGGGAGAAGTACATGTAACTAAGATTTTAGAAAGTCAACTTTTATTTGGAGATAAAATTCATTCCCACCTCGTGGGGCGATGCATCAATGGGATAGACACCAATATATCTAGAGATAGAAGAATGTAGTAGTTTATACAGTGATAAAAAATATCAGCAATTTTAGTGACACCGTTAGTTATTTCATAGAGATATTTATCCTCTGTTAGTAGAAGTACCTTGTTATAAAGATCATACGATCATGAAGTTTGACTATATGTTGGGTCAGAATGTTTTTTAAGTGTTTGAATAAAATTGACGTTTTGCCAAATTAGTTAAGAGGAATTTTACAATAGTATTGATGTATTGAACTCCAACGACTATGAATGTTCTTATGAGAACGTTAAAACTAAAAAGAAAGTGTATTTTTTTTATTAGGAATTTGTTTTTTATATATATTATTGTTGGAGTTTGTAAAACGTTATTTCACTATTTTTATATGAGGACATCATTATGTTAATTCTAAATAAAAAAAAATCACATATGAGTTCATTTTTTCTATATTTTACTTTATTTATGCAATGATATGTTTAA